TCGTCTTCTAGATCACACTAAAATATTACGGCCCTACGAGAACTCGCTTAGCTTTGAAAAATACGTTAAAATTTGCAAAAATTAGTATCGTTTTTTTGGCTTTTGTCAGAATTAGACCTTTCATCGACGATTGCTCAAAAACGCCTGAACCGATTTAAGAAATTTAAAAACCATTTGATGTATCTCAATGAGAACTATGGTCAGTTTTGTGCTACAATCGGCCGAGCCATTTCTTTGAAATTTGGAGAAAAGTGTTGAACTTTTCGTCCAAACTCAAGCACAAACTACCGAAGCGATTTTAAAAAATCAAAGATAGCGATTTTAGGTGAAAATCTACCGAACAGTTTTCTTGTAATTCGTTGTTAAGAAAAATGAGCCGATTTTTATGAAACTTTTTTTGATGATATATATGGTCTTATACAACTTATTGAAATATTACGGCCCTACGTAAAGAGTAATTTTAAAAAATCATTGAAGTTTGAGAAAATGAGTAGTTTTTTTGACGTTTGTTGAAATTAGAATTAGACGATTTACTTGGTATAACGATAGTGTACTTGGTCTTAATGAACGTACTAAATTATTAAAGCCCTACGGTAACTGGTTCAAATATAAAAATAATTGATTTTTGAAAATTTGCCTTCAGAAAATACTTCGAGTTAACGTGTTCGTTCGTTTTCAATAATGTGTGATATTGCAAATCCACTGGGAATACTTTTAATTCAAGCAGGTCTAGCCGTTACGAAGCTACGGGTGCCAAATTGTGCCAAAAATAATAATTCAGTTTTTGAACGGAGTGTGCAATTTGCATGATTCAAAAAACATTTAATTATGTTAAAAAAATAAAAAATTGATCAAATTTTTGAGAAAGCCGATCTAGCACTTTCAGAGATACCGTAAAAAAGTTAAAAAAGGTTTAACTGCGTCTGCTATTTGGCGGTCAAAAATGATCATTTTTGTATGAACGTCAAATTATGAGACATAATTTGTCTAAGTCGTCATCCAAACGTATTAGCGTTAGATCTGCTTAAGCCTTTACCACCAAAGCGTCTCAAAAAAAGAATCTGCAATGATTTACTACAAAATATAACATAACATCTAAGAAGGCGCTATCGCAGGATAGCGATCCTTCTCACGCAGTCAAATAATATATAACTGTAACAAATGTAGATGAATGTACTTTGTATAGCTTGCTATGAAAAATAAATCAAAAAAAAAAAAAATTGAGACATTTTATACAGATTTCAATGATGTACAAATTTTGTTTACATATCTATGGGTTCCGTACCTAGTTTATCCATTTGACTGCGACGCGGCGCTTACACGCTTTCCCAAATTTGTCACTTTAGCATGCAGCGCGAATGCTTTGAAAAAATTTAAAATTTTCAAACAACTTCAAAATATAAAAACAAATCAAAATTTGCAAAAGTTTTAAAATCCTCAAAATTCTTTTTTTTCAAAATTTTCAAAAAATCTTAGGCTTTTTAAAAAAAACATTTTTGGTACGGGGCTTTAACACAACTAGTAATAATTTCTCTTGCAACTTATTATCAAACATTTTAATATATATGGTTTATAATATGCTCTAACTAAATTACTCCTAGAGCAGCATCGTTTGCTGCGATATTGCATCTCAAATACAAAAATATATCGAACGCAAAAGCGCTACAAGTGCCGACATTTTTACTTACAGCATTTTAATATAAATTTCTTGAATCTTTAGAACAGTCTGTATCAAAATGGAAAAGTTGTACGTGTAAGTTAAATGGAACTGCCAATTCTTATAAAATTAGCAGCAACCTCATTTAAATTTAAAGTATCAATTTAAAATATTAGAATATACTTGATAAGAAAAATAATATTTTATCATTTGCAAAAATAATAATAATATTTAAACTTTTGAAATTATAGTTTAGGCAAAAGTTGAATTTCTTCAATATCAACTACTCCAAACCAAATATTTGAATTTTAAATCACCTGTTTTACTACTGAATCATTATTGATTTTTTATAATTAAGTTTTTGCTAGATTATATTTTTATTATATTACTTCTGTTTTCGATGGTTTGGGAAAGTTTATAATTCAATAATGCACAATATTATAATAACATTACACAGGGCCGGTCCTGGTATCCTCAGCGCCCGCATGCCATTATTTTCTTGCGCTAACCCCCTCCCCCCATTTAACTGTTTTAATAGTTCATCATTAAAATTATACAAAAATGTACATTAAATTTTTAAAATACTTTTTTATAATTCTGTGTTTTATACACAAAAAATTACATACATGTTAACTAAAAGTGCAAAAATACATTGATTTTAGATTTAAATTATTCAGATTTAGATTTAAATTATTCAGAAGATCGAGGCAATTTGTGGGTGCTTGTAATCAAATTTTGTGCTTTTTATCGTAGTAGCTATACGGAAGTATTTTTAAATTTTTATTTTCAATCCAAATTTTTCAACACATCCAATATGTTATTTATTGCTTGCAAGAATATTCTTAAATTTTCAATTATTTCTAATGCATGCTTGATATTAATATTTGGGTTTTGAAACATATTGTTTATTTATTTTGAGGATTTAATGCAATTTACTCTATTGAGCAAATCAGAGATTAATTTTTTTTTAAAACTTTCATTGTTGAACATAACAGTGCTACTTCATGTTGGATTATTTTAATTAAATTTTCCATTATTTAAAATATACAAAATTGCATCGTAAACTTCTCGTAATTGATATCGTAAGTAACGAATTGTATGTATTAATCTTTACTTTCCCATTTGTTGCTTTAAAGCGAAATGTTTAACGTATTTTAATAATATTGCCCATGGATTTATAAAATATGCAGAGAAACTATATATTTCTTGAATGACATTGAAAAAACAATATTATAAATATCATATCCAAATCTCGTTTTGGCGCCCCCTAAAGCGTGCGCCCGCATTTTTTGCATGCATTGCATTCCATGTAGGGCCGGCCCTGTCATTACACACAATACATAATATATTATAATATTAATGCTCCCAGTAACCATTCAATCTACACTAATAATTAAATAACGTAATAATAATAAATATTTTATTAAATTAAGAGAAATTCCAGCAATTTGCCTTAAAGCACGATGCTATGTACCACTAGTTTTGATTTTTCCATATCTGGTTTGATAAAATGTTTATTTTCTTATTTATCTGATTAGGGTTTACAATTTACTTGATTTACTTGAATCTGATATTTAGAGAAATTCTGCAGAGTTTTAGAACTCTGGTAAAATAAGCCATATGTTCATCCACATATTATACACACACAGTTATATATATATATATATATATATATATATATATAAGCATAAATGTAATATGAACCTCAGTTACACCTGCAAACAATTTAATCCGACATTGTCACAAACTGTTTGCTCGCCCACTAGGAAAATTAACTTGCCTCAATTTTAGTAATATACAAGCACTCGGCATATATATATACATATATATATATATATATATATATATATATATATATATACTAGATAGCCCTAGAAACTTTGTTTAACTACAAAAATATTTCTAGAAAATTTTAGTAAATAAAATAAGTAACTCATTCTGAATGTAAATTTGTGCAATAGTAGTATATAATAAATGAGGCATCTATTTAATACATATTAAGTTGATGGTTTCCACTACAACGCCGTTCCACATATACATGTGCTTGGAGCACATTGATTGCCATTGCAATTTCCAGTCTAAGTGAAATTGATATCATTTAAATTGAATTGACTCATATTGATATTCAAGATTTTGTTCTAATATTATCACGATTTTCATTAATTCATTGATTTTCTAATTTTGTGGCAAATTCGGAGTAATAATTTTTTACTTAAGTGTGACATTCTGTGAACGAGATTTCACAAACTCTGTAAAAATTTATAGGGTTTGTTATGTACCTAGTTTCCTCTTGAAGACTGTTTTATTTTTGGGTTTTAATATTGCATGCATACATCTTATTTCTCTTGCAAGCCTTTCAAAAACTATGAATTTCTTGTCCAAATCGGAAAATATTTATAAAGTAGGATAATCCTAAGATTTAGTGATTATGCATAAATCAATCGACAACTTGATGCATCTAGTTTTTTCGGCTGCAAACATTTCTTTGCCAACATCTGAGAATTATTTTAAAAATGTTTTAACGTATAGATCAAGTAAATTCAAGTTTTTCTACAAACATGAAAAAATTATGTTGAAAACTCAATGCAAACGTTCACAAAAAAGGAGATGATTGATCAGTTATCGAGCAATATAAAAGTGATCGAACTACTGAAATAACTATTATGACATAGAAAATCATCTATATCGCCTTTATTTCATACGCTTAATGGTGCATGGCCTAGTTTCTCCTTGGTTGGTGTTACAATTGATACGAGGCGCATGTAAAAAATAAGGTGCCCACATTTTTTTCAGGGTTGAGGCATTTTTTATTGCTATAAATGTGTATACCATCGGAAAGCTTGTATTTCAAACTATTTTTTTACATAGTCGCCAGATCTTTCAACGCATTTTTTCTGAGGAGTTTTCCACTTCTGAAAACCCGCTTCGAAGAACTCCACCGCCACGCCCTTGCTCAGCCTTCTTCTCCGGCGATTTGGGATGGCTTTTTTGAGTTTTGTTAGTGTCTCGCAGTACTTGTCCGAATTTATAGTGGATCCTTTAAGCATTAACTCGGTAAGCAAGACACATTTTTGGCCTCCCGCTCTTTTGCTCGTCGTGAACGTCTGTGCGTCCTTCGGAGAACTCCCTGCATCATTTGAGGACGTGCTGGACGCTGATGCAAGTTTTGCCATAAACTTCTTCCAACTGTCTATAAATTTCAATAGGTGTAAGTTTTTTTGCGTTTAAAAATCGAATGACTGAACGGATTACACACCTGGCGGTTACGGCGATTGCGCGCTCCATCGCAGATGGCTGTTAGATTGGCACTCAGCTATGCAGTGATCTTCCAGGTAGTTGGAATGAAATGGCAAGGATCAACAATGGAAATGGTGTTGCCGGATTTCTTCTAGTATCTCGCGCGGAGAGTGTACAGCATTGGGAACCTTATTTTTTAAATGACCCTCGTAGAATTGGTTTTTTATTGCTGGTGTTCTATGTTCTTGTATGGTTTTGCAGTCTTCATGCTTATGGTATTGCCTAGCTCTGTTTTGCAGTTTGGCGACAATTTTGTAGTCAAGCTTAAGAATTCATATCTATGCATTATTGGTATCTGATGCTTGGGTATTTATGTGTAAACTGAGACCTTACTCTGAATGACATGCTTCACGCATTCGTCGCCAAAAAAATTAGGTTTAGGCTGGTTGTCCGCCCGCAAGTTTTGCTTGCTTTCCAGACTGAACGTTTACGGTATGTTTCAACCATGTATTTTTTTTACAATTAACAATTCACAATTTTTTCGCTGTTAGAAATTGCTAAATAGGTACTAATGTGCAGGCCGGACGCTTCTTTCGAATAAACCCTACTTTTGGAATCGCTATGTGTTTCCGGTTATTTCTCTATCAGAATCTGCTAAGTTTTCTTTCCTTTACGGCATAAGGAATGGAATGTCCGATGTTGCCGCTGTGTGAGCAATTATTCTTCCTTTTAAAGAACTTTGTGTTGGTTTTCTTGAAGCAAACAATCCGCTTTATCAGGCGGATTGTCTCGTTGATTGTCCTTATATCAGTTTACACGACTTTGAAATGGATATGTGGTAAACCTTTTAGCGTTTTCTCATTCGATATTCCTTCCATGTACTTGTAAAATATGATTTCAATCCATTGAACCTGGACGTTAATCTTGAAAAAACTGTCTGTCGTGATGTCCATCCGTACACTTATTTGCGATCAGTGCCGCTCCCATTGATCGCTGTAACTTTTCTGCCGAAATAGAAACTGCCTCTCTCTTGCTTTGTGCCACTCGGTTGGGAGCTAGTTTTGTACGGAACGTATTAATCTTTGTGCAACATTGTAAGATTAATATCCTAAAGATCGAAGTTTGACGCCATTTCGGTACGCGTAAAATTAAATTTAGTAAAACTTAAATTTTTTAAAACACCATGATTAATCGAATTGGTTATTTCACTTGTTAAAAAACGGGATTAACAAACGCTTGTAGATTAGTACACTTAAATTTATCACTTACAACCAAAAAGGTTGAAAATAAGGAAATCAAGTTGATAGCTCATCTGACAGATATATCGCCTATGTTGGACCTATTTCTTATTTCTTAAGCAGTAAGTAGAAAATATAACAAGAAGTTTTTTTATGATAGCGAGTTAAGATAACAGTGAAGATATTAGCGCGAGAACAAAATATACATTTTTGTCAATTTTTTTGAGAAGATGTAATTTTATATCTAATCTAATAAAATATATAAAATAGATATAACATTAAGGTGGGTTTGTACTGAAAGGTTAACCACCCTTGAGAAATATTCTTTAAAATTATGAGCAATTTTATATCCGTACATTAAAATAATAGAAAAACGGTATATTGTATTTATGTGATGAAAAGAAAGAGTGTACATTTTCTCAAAAAGAAATGCATATTTTTGATCACAGTAACAATTTTTGCTTTGGGTTCAGCAGGACATAATTCAGCGTGCTTTTTTATATAGTCATATACAGTCAGTATATACCTCTGTTCATGTATGTATTTTGTTGAATAGTAGTGTCTAGTCAGTGGATCTCTCGGTTTGTTCACTACCAGTCTCAGTGCCGACGCCGGACGGCACCTAGCGCCGGAAACTCTATTTATCACGTATTATTTAAGCGAGTATAAATTTTATCATTACAAAATACATGTGACAAGGGCGTAGGAGTCACACAGGTGCATTATCACGCGCCAAGCCTCACTTGTGACGCGCACGGCTACGGCGCAGCAAACGTTTGCTGCAGACGCAAAATCACGGCATCACCCAAATATCAATGGAAGTCGTACTTGATTGATAACCGTAAAATGGTAGAATATTATTAGATCTTTTAAGCAATTTTAGTAGGTACCACTAAATGAACAAAAATGTCTGTCCCTTAGCACCGGACACTAAGTCGTCCCTTAGCGCCGGACAGTAAACATATTGATATTTCTTGTGAGAATTTACGTCATTTATTCTAATTATTCTGTTTTGTTCTGTATGAGTGCTAACGGTCACTACATACCCCCATTTTGTGTATTTTCTAGTCAAAGAAAGAAAAGCTTATGATGTATGTACCAGCTGAGAGCATCGGTGTGGCTCAGCCAAAAGGGTAGATGCATAGTGACTTTTCTTTGCAATATCTAAGATTATTTGTCAAACACATATATGCAATCATTTCAGAGTGTGGAGATGGCTACATACATCATCAATGCAAGATTTCTTTAAATGTTCGGTACTAGGTGCCACTTTTAAAATCATATGTTTTGTCATCAAGTTTGATTGATGACAAAAATAATATTAATTATTTTATATTAATAATATTAATTATTTTTAGCGAAGATTGCGTTTATGTTTATTTGATTAGTTTCTAACTTTGTTATCTAACATAAGTCACAATTTATTAAACATTTCATAAAATATTTTTTCATTTATTTATGAATAACCTTAGGTATTCGCCACTAGGGTACTTACCCCTACTTTTGTACATATTTTGCACATAGTCTTGAGGAGGTCTAATTTACATATAGTCGTGTGGTTTCTTTGTCTTCAATATGAGAAATATTGTAAAGAATTGCCATGAAGCAAGAAAATGCTTCTACATTATTAAACAGCCTCCGGTATTTGTTATTTGAGCCAAAAATTAGTACGCTTGACGGTAGTTGTTTTAGTAGTCTGTCCGATCCTGGTTTTTTTCTGCTTGGTAGCTTTTGTGCTATTGTTCTAATTCCCGAAACTATAGCCGTGTCTTTTTATAGGTTGTCTTTGTATATATCAGTAAAATTTTGAATAATCTTGTGTAAGGTTCGTCTCAGGTCTGGTTTGTGGATGTTCTCAAAGTGTGTTGCCAATATTTCATATTTATCTTTCGGTGTTGTAGCATAGTTATCAGTTAGTTTGAGTGGTGGCATGAGTGTTGATATCCGCGTTATTCTTTTGAACGGTCTGATTGCAAAATTAAAAACATTTTCGATGTCTAATGTAACTACTAGAAAGTACTTTTTTGCGCCGCCCATACATCTGGTTTCTGCAATTGCCTCCTTAATAGTTAATCGTTCTTTAAGAAAACCATTGACTGATAAGAGTTTATGTAAAGAATATTGCATCTGTTCTTTGGTGAATTATTCTTTCATACATTTTACCCGCTATATATAGCATGCTATATATAGCATTCGACTTTAGGATGACAGTGCGTCTGGTGATTTTTTTTCTCTGGCAAGAAGTACTAATCTTTGCTATGTCTGTTTTTGTGGAATAAAACATTTTTTAGACGTGTATTATATTGTGGAGGATGTCCATATCAATGCTCCTAAAACAATATTAGGAATATTATCTAATTCCGGCGTTTGACTATTTTTATCCTGATGATAAGCTTCCTTCAGCTCTTTCAGTTGCTATCTATGGAAAATCAATTAGATCATCATATGCTACCTAATAGTTTAAAACAAGTTTCATTATTATATTCAAGAGTAGTGCGCCAGTTTACACCACATCTAACTCAATAAAGACTTAATAAAGTGCTTTTCCTCTTGCATTAGTCTGCCTGTTACTCCAGTCTACTGACCATGAGTTGAATTCAGCGGCTATCATTAAAGGATGGTGTTGTTTTGCATCATCTATCAGTCGATCTAAGAAATCATCAAAATCAGATGTAGCTATAGACTAAGCGGAGCGTAACACCTTTACAAACGTATGCCATGTACTGATGCTGGTATAAATTCAGCATTGCTATTCTTATTAGCGTTCTGGTACAAAATTTTCCATTAGACCAAACAGGTTTTGTGTTACTGTATGTTTCCCAATTTCCCATAGCCGATCAGTTGTTGTTTCAAAAATTTAAAAAAAAACGGCAATATCAATTTTGATTTCGTTTAACTTAAGTAAGTCGTGTCTTGTTGTTTGTGACTGTCGGCTGTTGTGTGACCAGTTCATGCCCACACCTAATGCATAGATTAATTCGATTCACTTAGTTTCTGCTCTGAATTGATCTCTTGTTGTTTTTAATTCGACAATTTAACGATCAAATTTGAAATTTGTCATTTTGTCTGAATTGATTTCGTACCATTGATGCAGAATACCGTTTATGGGGTTTGAATGATTCAAAAAATATTCGATTCCTATTAACGGAAAGGCGTGCTGATTAGTTTTTGTCCTAGGCAAGTCAAAGGTCAGAAAGAAAATGTCAAAAATAATAATTTAATTTTTGTGATAACGGAATCCAATTATAATTAAATGTAACTAGTGCGATGCATGGCATCGTGTCTTAAGGTAAATTGTTGGAACTTTCCGTACTATGATCTTTGTGAAAATTACACAAAATGTGTACACATTATTAAAATCTCTACAAAAAATCTGATAATTTGATGTGCATAAGCCAAATAAACATTTTTGGCTGCCAAATGACATTTTTTTAAATTATTTTTATTGAGAGTCTATAACCGCTGGACCTGACTTCCCAAAAATTTAATCAGTTTTTTATTTTGTCAATACAAGTAAAATGTTTGCTGAATTATAAAAATAGGATACTCCGTTCTCCTAAAAACTGAGTTACCGTTTTTGGCACTTTTTGCCCCGTAAAGGCTAGATCTGCCTTTACCAAAAACTAATTAGCATGTCTTCTTATCAATACGAATCGAATGTATTTGAATTATTTAAATCGGGTGATCAGTGTTCCCAAAATCGTCGACGAAAATTTGTATCCGCACACACACACACACACATACACACACATACATCCATATTTTCTAAGGTATGCCAAATTATTCAGAAATCTTTGAAACGTGAAGATATAAAAAATATCATTTTCGATTTTTTAGCGATTACTATAACTTGCCCT